GGCCAGGGCGCGCTGGGATGCAGACGAGCGGCTGTCCCCTGTGCTCCAGGGGTTTTTCCGGTGGGGCTTTGCGGCATGCATAGGAGTCCGGGATCTTAGAAAACAGGCCAGGGCGCGCTGGGATGCAGACGAGCGGCTGTCCCCTGTGCTCCAGGGGTTTTTCCGGTGGGGCTTTGCGGCATGTATAGGAGTCCGAGTTCTGGAAGATGGGCAGGGTGCGCTGGGATACAGGGGAGAGGCTTTCCCCTGTGCTCCAGGGGTTTTTCAGATGGGGCTTTGCGGGATGCCTAGGAGTCCGGGTTTGTAGAAAACAGGCCAGGGGTTTTTCAGATGGGGCTCTGCGGCATGTATAGGAGTCCAGGATCGTAGAAAACAGGCTTCTCATTGCGCCTCGCGCTTGATTTTGATACATGGAGAAAGATCGCTGTCCCCGCTGCTCCAGGCGGTTTTTCCGGTTGGGCTTTGCGGTCTATTTCTCCATTCTAGCGAGTTCCTCTTGCGTTGTATCGGTTTAAAAACAGCGCCCAGGGGCGCAATTCTGGCGCGCGCACGCTGCTCTTATCTTCGCTGTTTTTATAGTGTGTGTCTTGTCAGCTCTTCTATCCCTCTGTCTCTTTTGTCTGTGTCCTCTGTGTCTCTCTTCGTCATGTTACTTGGGTCCCCCCGTATGTTGTCCTCGGCTGTGTCCACGTCCTGATTTTCGTATCGGTGCGCGTGGTGTTGTGTCAAGTCTTATCCTTTCTCTGTTTGTCGGCGGCGCCCTGTTCATATTTCTTCTTCTTGCGTGTCCGTCAGTGGCAGCTGTCCTGGGTATCTGAGTGCTGCCCATCTTTGTCGTCCCCGGCGGAGCCCGGCGCCGCGTCACCGTCCCTGCCGCTTCAACAAGGCCTCGCAGCCTGAGTGCCCAGAAGCTGCCTCGTGAGGCCGGTGTGGACAGCCTGGCCGGGAGCCGGGTGGGGGCTGGCGGCGTCACCTCGGTCGCCCGCACCTGACCTGCGCACATGGCCCCCCGGTGCCGGCCCTGGGGGGCCGCGTGGGTGGCCTGGAGGGGTCGGGCGTGCAAGCTGGGACCTCCCGGGCTCTTTGGTCGCCTTTAGTGGCTGGGGACAGCGCCTGTCCCCAGTTGAGGCAGCAGGGGGAGGGGAGATTCAGCGGCCCGATTATCGCAGCCTGGCGGGCCTCAGTTCCCCACTGCCCCTCCTGAAAGGCTGCGGTCGCCTTGGACAGACCCCAAGTGGCAGGGGGCGAGGCCCGTGGTGGCCCCCAGTGTCCCCTCCCCCAGTGTCCCCTCCCCCTCGGGGACCCGTGTGTGTCCTAGCAGGGTGGCCCGAGGTTTTGGGGAGGTCACGGGACTCCCCGAGGCTGGGCTGGGCTGCAGGTTGGCTGTGTGACACGATGGTCCCTCTGTCTGTCCCCACCGGCCTGTCTTTTTTTTTTGAGACAGAGTCTGGTTCTGTCGCCCGGGCTGGAGTGAGCGCCGTGGCGTCAGCCTCGCTCACAGCAGCCTCCGACTCCTGGCCTCTAAGCGATCCTCCTGCCTCGGCCTCCCTCCCGAGTAGCTGGGACAACAGGCGTGCGCCACCACGCCCGGCTCATTTTTTCTGTATATATTTTTATTTGGGCAATTAATTTCTTTCTATTTTTAGTGGAGACGGGGTCTCGCTCTTGCTCAGGCTGGCCTCCAACTCCTGACCTCGAGCGATCCTCCCGCCTCGGCCTCCCTCCCGAGTAGCTGGGACTCCAGGCCTGCGCCTCCACGCCCGGCTACCGTTTTTCTATCTATATATTTTTACTTGGCCAATTAATTTCTATTTTTCTCAGTAGAGACGGGGTTTCGCTCTTGCTCAGGTTGGCCTCGACCTCCTGACCTCGAGCGATCCTCCCTCCTCAGCCTCCTCCCAGAGTGCTGGGATGCCAGGCGTGAGCCAACACCGGGCGCCGGGCCACCTCTGCCTTTGTGGCCGTTTCTATGCATGTCACCAACTCCCTCCCGTGCGCCCTGTCCCCCCTGTCCCCTCCGCCTGCTCTCCCCAGGCCACCTGTGTCCCCCCGTCCCTCCCTCCGGCCTCTCTCTCCGGCCTCCTTTCTCTCCAGAGCCTCATTAATCTTCCCTTTCACCCGGGTTCAAAAGGAAACGGGAGCGTCGGGGACTTTGACAGGATCCAATTAAGTTCCTGCAGATAAAGTCGTGATGAATGGCCCGGCCGTGCTGGGGACAGGCTGGGGTCCCCGGGTCCCCCCCAGCCCCGAGCGCGGCAGCCGGCTGAGCTGGGC